TATTTAGCAAAAATATTTTAACAAATATGAGTAAAAGTTCCAGCTAACAAATGATAAATTATTCTAAGATGAGTAAAATATATTTATTAGTTGAATTTTATCAAATATTTTAATTTTTCTTTAATACAGAAGGCTTTTCATATAAAATCTTCAGCTGAGTATGAGCTGTATATTTACAAAATTTAAAAAAAAACTTTTTATATTGAATTTCCTATAAAAAGATTAAAAGGATGTATTTAAGGTTTATATAAAAAAAATTATCAATAATATAGTATAACTTGATTTTTATTGGTAAGAAAATTTTAAAAGCAATCTGAAAATAATTACTTTCTGTTTATATGTTTATTGTATCATGTCCCTGTTTATGCAGGTAAGCTTCATACTTCCTTCTGTGTTTGAGAAAAAATTAAAATATTTGTTAAAATTTGACACACTTTATACACTTTACTCATCTTTACTCATAGTTTTTTTTATTTGTTACCTGGAGCAGTTACACAGAGACAGGTAATGACTTTTATAATATAAATATAATAAAATTGTAAGTGTCTGTGATTACAATTGTAGTATATCTGTAATAATTTAGACTACTTTAGTATATTAGCACTCATTAGATATTTATTTATTTAGTATATAGTATTTATTTATATTTCAATTAGCACTCATTAGATGTTTATTTATTTAGTATATAGTATTTATTTATTTATAAAATAGAAGTTTAAACTTGATGATTCAATTAAAGTATTCCAATTAGTTAAAATCTATATTTCTTTGAAATATTAACTGAAAGAGAAAGAATGCTGGATTACCATGAATAGATTTTAAATCCAAATTTCAAAAACAATGAAAATTTCAAGATGCTGTGTGCAAATGACATTAATATGAAACAAAGTAAGTGATGCCTATGGAAGCAAAAAATGCTCTGGAAGTCCTAAAAAATTGATTAAATTACAAGATAAAGTAGTAAAATAGATTTCTTTATAAAATAGAAAATACGCTACCAAAAAGATCAGATCTGTGTGCAATCAGTTTAATGATTTGAGATTAGCACTTCCATCGCCAAAGATTGACTGAAGAAATTAGGCTTGCATGGGCATTTAGATGCTTTGTTAAGGCCAATTAAAACCATTATTAAGGCCAATTAATAAGACAAAAACATTAAATTGGGCCGAAAAATTTGCCGCATGGATATATTTGAATTAGTGTATTTTTATGCACAATAATGATCCAAAAACCTTTAAAAGCTTTCAAAAATATTAAGAAGATCTCTAAAGTCAGCAAATACTACAAATAATGGAATGGCCACTACAATTGCCAGATCTTAATCACATTAAGTTTATGTGGAAAGAACTTGAGAGGAATGTGCGAGAAGAGCAGCCATTTTCTATAAATAACCTCTAGCAGTTATTTTATTGCAAATGAAATAGAATGCAATACAATTTGAAATACTTTATAAATTGATTGGTTATATGATGTGGTGGCAGTATAGCTATCTTCATTACTGATATATTTATCTCTCATGAAGTTAATTAGTTCTATAAAACTTTTCTCAAACAAGTTTTGGTATCTGTAAAAGACAACAATAAACACATACTTATCTTGATTATACATAGACCAAATGATGGCAATTTAATATAATATATCGCTGAATCCTTCAAATTAGTTCATAGCTTAATTAGGAAGCCCTATGATGTCTGCTTCATTGTCGGTAGTTTTAACATATCACATTTCATATGTCTAGACACCCTATGGTTGCTCAAACCATATGTTGGATTTGTTATTTACCTACAGCATTAATGCTATTTTAAAATTGTTTCCTAATGCTATATTAGGTAATAATACTAATGGCCACTTTAGTATTACTTGAGGAATTTTAGTTTTAAAACTGTTTCCTGAAAGTAAATCTCAGTTGTTTAGTTACAGCAAAGGTGATTACGATTCAATATCAACCTTTATTGCATCAATCAACTGAAATAATTTATTTCACCATAAAACCGCGTATCAAATGTTTAATTTAATAATTTCTAACAATTGTATTTTTTGCAAATATTTTATCCTAAAGGTTAGTTAAACAAAGAAAAAGTATGATCCTTGGGTTACTCCAAATATTAAAAACCTAATATGAGCAAAAAAATCCGCTTAGTATTAGTGATTTCGCCGGTTATCCGGTTTTGCGGTTAACCGGATTTTGTTCAAATATCAAATATCTATTTTCGAATAATATAAACCGACTTAAAAATTTTATGAAATTTTATAGAAAGTAACATCGTAATTATGACGATTAATGTTTGACAAATGTTAATTTATCAAAGATTATAATATATTTCTTTTATTAATTTAAATGTTAATTTAATCAGTTTTGTTTGATAATATATTCTTAAAACAATTTACAATAGAAATCTCAAAGATTTATTTATTACTTTTACAACTCAAGCAATACATTTTTAAGAAAGTTTCTTCAGAATATTATGGAACTCTAATTCGCTTATTCAGCGTATTTTTTGAACCAATAGAATTTATTTATTCGTAGATTTGGCGGTATTTTAGTGTTAGCAAATATTCTTTATATTATCTTTAAGCAACAAGTTGTTTTGAGTACATTCAAGTTTATCTTCAAGTTTCCATCTATGTTTGCATAACAATAAGTTTTTAAAATACAAGCTAATAAAATTTACTTCATAACATCTCATTTTTCCAAATCAAATGTTTTTATATGAGAGAATGATTTTAAAACATCCGCTGATATTAAAATATTTAAACTATACTTGTACATTATTCCTATCTTTTTTAATTGTATAATTAAAAAGGTATATTATATTATAATATAAAAAATGTATATATCTTTTTCCATATTTTGTTATAAATATATAATATAGGACTGTATTCACTGTCTTGAAAATGTACACTTTAACATTAATTTTTAAAAAATTAGTTTAAAACGCTACGTTTGTTGAAATTTAGAAGATCCTGTATTCAGAAAGCGTCACTAATTTACCGAATAGTCGGTTAACCGCAAATTGATGAAAACTGTTATCCGGTTTTTGAAACGGATAACTGACGAAATCACTACTTGATATATCAACTGCTCAACTAAATGGAAGAATAATAAACTTAAAATAAACTGCTATCTTCTTAATAGTTCCGTAAAAGCTGAAATATTTAAAGCAAAAAGATCACATAAAAAAGAAATAATATTAACATCCTTCTGAATAATTTCATCATTAAAAAAGTCATACTAACCTGAATGAACTTATAATGACAACTTAGGTTTTTCTATTTCAGACATTATTAACTTACAAATCTAAACCCCTATAAATATTTTTTCCATTTACAAAAATCTTTCATAAATTATTTTACTCTAAGAAATTAGCAAATTTTAGTTTGCAAATTTCTAGAGAGTGAGTAGTATTCCATATAAAAAAATGGAAGATAAATTACTTACTGAAAACTACTGACCTGTTTGACTAAACTCTGTTGCCTGCAAAATAGTCAAATTACTTGTTTATAGTTTTGTTTATAGAACAAAATCTTTAAGCACAATAACGATAATTGTTAGTGTAACTCGTTACATGTAAAAATAATGCAAAAAAGTAAAAAAATGTTTTAACAAAGTAAATACACTCTACACTTGACACCCCAATCCTGCTAGGTTGAGACCAAGAACCCAATAGAAGCACTTAGCCTATGGCCTTGGTATTTACATCTAGATATTTAAAATGTGCTCTCTAGATGAGACATTTCCTCTAGGTAACCATGACTTCATTATACAATATATTCAATTGAAAATTTTATGTTATAGATAATATTTACATTAAAATTTTTTATTGTATTGCTGTTGGAAAGCAATAGTGTTGGTAGATGTTGTGGTGTTGGTAGATGTTGTGGTAGTAATAAATTCTATTGGTTCAAAAAATACGCTGAATAAGTGAATTAGAGTTCCAAATGCAGTTATTGTTAAATATTTCAATGATTTTAATACAAATGATGATTGTTTAAAATGTGTACATAACAAAACACCAGGTTCATTTTTCACTATGTTTTAATTGTACTTTAAAGACAATTTGTAAATTAAGACATTTTGCAGCAACACAAAAATTTTATTTAATTAAAATAGATCTTGTTTAATTAAAAATTTATTTTTTTAATTAAAAATTCATTTTATGTTTTTAATTGACACAAAGTTATACTATTTAATATTTTATATTATTATATGACCAAGAATTTTGTTAGGAAAAAAAATGCATACAACAACTTCAAAAAGAGCTATTATCAAAGGCAAAAAGCTGTGGAAAGAGTGAACAGTTAGCAGAAATGTTTCAAAATAAGAATGTTGCTTATGTTATCAACGAACGGTTTATAAATTTACCTGGTCAAATTGCAGTACCTTTTCATAAATCGCTTATGTATGTGATTTTTATATTGTTTTTTTTTTCTATCATATTTTGTTTATATTCTAGATAAACTGCCACTTTCCCTCTCTGTGACTCCCCATTAGACACTAGAGCTGTAATATTCCCCTAGTAATCCCCTGTAAAATCCCTTAATAATACTCCTCAGCAGGAATGTGAAGTCTCAAAAGAGCTCTGGCAGTAAATCTCTGTTTTCCTGGTCTCTGGTGCCCAGGAGTTTTATAAATGTTGGCTTATTTATAATCTACAATAAGAAAAAAATCATGAGATTTATTGACTTGGAACTTATTGTTATAAGCAATAAGTTCCAAGTCAATAAATCTCATAATTTTTTTGAAGTACCAAGTTATTAGAGTCTTTGATGCCATTATATATAAGAACTCCAGGTTAAAAATTGATTGTTTCTCTAATTTAAAAGTTTTAATTTTTCACAAAAGTAGTCCATAAGCTTCTTTACATTTTTAGAGTTCCTGGATACCAAAAACCAGAATAAATATTCTTTTTGTGACTTTCAAATTCAGAGTCCTTTTCAAGACTCCCTGCTCCCAAGACATTAGATCTGTAATAATTCTTTAATTTATTTTCATTTGTCTAATCTATATTCTAAAGAATTTTGTCAAAATAAGTTCATTTTTGAATGGTCATTTGACCTAGTTACTTATACTTTTACATTGAATTCAATAGAAAATTTAATTTATGAAAATTATGATATTTATATGTTTTTACTGGAACCATTAATAATAAAAATAATAATAATAAAAATGAACTACTACTAGGATGTATAAGAAGTTATAAAACTAAGCACAAAGTATAAAATAATTTTGTATTTTATATTTAGCTCATTAAGTTAACATAATTTAAACTAAGTATATAGAAAATATTTCAAATTTTTAATTCAAATCTGCTAATTATATTTAATAATATTGCATTAGTTATTAACATAATGCATTCATACTACATAAAGCCTACTCAAATTCAAGCCCTTAGTTGATCCACTGCTATTATTTCAGTTGTTAGCCATATTTTAATGGACTAATCTAATTTATCGTTTTAGACGTGAAGTTGAGGAAGCAAAAAAAGAGGTTATTGTTACAACAGAAACAAAACAAAAAAATTTCTTTTGCTTTTGTTGTATTTATTTTTGCATTTTGTTGTATTTATTTTTGCATTATTTTTATTTGCAGTCTCAATTGTCTTGGTTTTTTTTTTCTTTTATAGAAAATGAAAATAATGAAAAGTGCAATGAAAATTTTAGTTTTAATTAGTTTAGCATTGTGCTTTTCTGCAGAAAAACCAGAACAATTTTTCTGTAGGAAAAATTTTTTATATTAAAGTTTTTTTTACTGTTTGTTAAAATAATTGATTTTTTCATCTTTTGTTTAAGTTTTTTTTTTTTTTAAATCATTTTTAAACCATTAAAATAAAATAAATGCTAATAAAAAAATTATAGACTAAATACAGTATAGATTAACTTGAAAAAAAAAGTTCATTTGAAATCATTCTTTATTAATTTATTTTTTATTACTGCATTAGGGTGTGTCGATTTTTTTCTTTTTCAGTTTCAAAAATGGTTAGGTTACTTTTGGTGAAAAATTTTATGGAGATTTTGAATCTGCAAAAAAAATTCAAAAAAAAATGTCTTGCTGGGTGGGTCGTTGTTTTGAACGGAAAAATGCCTAAAATGTGTCTAATTAACAGGGTAAAACTATAATTAAAAAAAAAAAGTTTTCTAAAATTTTCGATTAACCCAATAATTGTTATGTTGGATTTTAAGAAAATTGATTATTTGGTTCAAAAAGTCATAAAAATAAATACAGAAAAGGAGTTTTTGTGAAGGGTATTTTTACAAAAATCAGGCACTTTTTTTATATTTTGGACAAAGAATGTTATGGTAAAGTGTGTTGTTTTTTTCCTGTTTTTATCAAACTTTAAAAGTAAGGGGAGTTCATTTTTGTCGGGAATTTTATTGGGAATCTGAATCTGAAAAAAGAAACAAAAAGGAAATATGTTTTTTTGGAGGGAACCCTTAGTTTTCAATTTAAAAAATGACTAAAATATGAATAATTAAAGAGAAAAAATTATAAACTAAAAAAATTTAAAAAAAAATTTTTTTAAATGAAAGATGACCTAATGAATTATTAAGCTAAAGATTAAATAATTAAAATTGAGTGAAAAGATTCAATATACAAACCACTACTTACCACAAGCCTCACAACCCATGAAGTCAGGAAATATTTTCACAAGCCTATCGTTGTTTCAGATTGGCCATGCCATTTCCAATCCATTGAATGTTGCGTTAAGCAGGTTTCTTTTTTATACAATTACAAGAATATAATAACTTATTAATAATTTGTTAATAACTAAATTATTTTTAATGTTTATAAAGGTTACAGAGGGTTGTGAAAAAACATATTTCCATGAGAAGCGAGTAGGATATATAAGAGTACAAAAATCAGTTGCGTTTTTATGAGCACAAACAATGTAAAATATAACTGAGTTTAACTCACAAATTTTAAATAAAATTTATAAACTATTAATTGTTGATTATATGTAAATTTTAATAGAGATATCATTATTATATTATATATATTATAAATGTATTATATATATAACATATTGTTTGTTATAACTAAAGTGTTTGACTTAATATTAATTTTAGAAAAAAAAGCGCACCCTACAACAACATTCACTGTCTAAATTATGAAAAAATTGACTAATTTTTCTAAAGCAACCTTCACAAAAGCACCCGTGTTTATTTTTTTGACTTTATAACAAAATGTTATATTTTCATGAAGTTCAACAGTTTATATTGAGTTTATCAAATAATTGAAGATTTTTTTTAGTTTATAATTATTTTTTTTTGATTATTTTTATTTTAGTCATTTTTTTGTTGTAAACTAAGGGTTTCCTCCAACAAGACATATTTTATTTTTATTTATTTTTTTAGATTCAAGTTCCCTATAAAATTCTCCACAAAAATGAACCCTTACTTTTAAAGTTTGATAAAAACAAGGAAAAAACAGCATACTTTACCATAATAAACAACACACTTTAGTGTAACATTTTATGTCCAAAATATAAAAAGAGTGAATGATTTTTGTAAAAATACCCTTCACAAAAACTCCTTTTTCGGTATTTATTTTTATGACTTTTTGAACCAAATAATCAATTTTCTTTTAATTCAACATAACAATTATTGAGTTAATTAAAATTTTTAGAAAATTTTTTTTTTTTTTAATTGTAGTTTTGCCCTGTTAATTATTCACATTTTAGTCATTTTTTTATTGAAAACAACGCTGACCCACCCAGCAAGACATTATTTGAAAAAATTTTTTTTTTGCAGATTTAGAATCTCTATAAAATCCTTGACCAAACCTTGCCGTTTTTGAAATTTTAAAAAAGAATTGATGCACCCTATTGAAACTCTTTACTTGCTGTTTTATGAATTGCTAGTTTTAAAACTATTCAGTTGTTGTTTTTTTTGCTTTATTTGTTTGAGCGTTTTTTTATTAGTTTGAGTGCCTAAGTTATCTTAAAATTCTGAATTTAGTACTTTAAACAATAAAAAGTTTTTTCTGCATTTTGATTAAATTACTTATTTTTGCAGGATTCAACATTTGAATTAGATTATTTACTTCTTATTTCAAAAACTTTACAACCAGCAAATTGTGAATCAAAAAAAAAGAAGAAAAAGAAAAAAGAAGAAGAATCAATAGAATATACAAACTTTGAAGATGAAGTTTTTTTCAAAGTAATTTTTTCATTTTTATAATAAAATGAATTTTTAGGGGCGTGGTTAAATTCATATCTATCACATTCCTGGTAGTACCAGGCTTAACTTGTTTCTTTGTACTGCAGCTTGTTTGTCAAGTTCCGTGTTTCAAGTTTGGGAAAGAGTCATCACAATCAAGAGAAATTTAAACAAATGATAAAATGACTAGTCTCTACTATAGCGGCCCTATGTGTGTTGGAATCTGGGTGTTGGATGTTGGGAATGTGATTACATGTAGTTTTCTTGATTTGCACTATTAGTCCAAATTAAAAGCGCAAGTTAAAAAATATAATTATATTTTTGCAAACAAAATCTGCAATTTGTTTGTGTTTAAACAAATATAAAATAGTGTAATTAATAATAATATTGATATATAATGATTTTAAATTGTTCCACACTTATTTATTTCAGGCGAGTGAGTTTCACTTTAATTATTGTGTTACCGAAGCAACTGGACTTGCTGCAAGTGGCGGGTGGAATTTCTCTGATAAAACTATGGACACTTATAGAACTGTAATTGTTGTTCCTGTCAAAAATTGGAATAAAATTGTTAAAGACATTGCTGAAATGGTTGAAGAATAGAATATAAAAGATTTTAAAAGAAGTTTTGTAAATGGTTAAATGAGAGTTCTACAAACTCTAAGATCATTTCTGCAACATGAGCTCATTTCAAACTGTCATCATGAGTTTGTTGTTGTCAATCAATTAGCCAAAGTTTATCAAATAAAATAATGAGTAGGCTGTAATAACTCTTGGATAAAAATATGAAAAAATTAGGAAATTTATAAATTTTTAGTCAATTTTAATGTTTATCATATTTTTAAGTAAAAAAGAAGGTTTTTTAATTCTTGTTTATCATTTTGGTTTTATTTTTACAATGTTTTTTTCTTTGCTTACATTGTGTTAAAGTTTACTCATAACAGACATAAGTGATCATAAGTGACAAATGTTTTTTTTCTTTGCTTACATTTTGTTAAAGTTTACTCATAACAGACATAAGTGATCATAAGTGACAATTTATACAGATATAATCATATAATTTATAAGTGAAATTTGAATTTGATTTACTTATGTGAAGTTTTTAACAATTTAAATAAAGCTTTTTTAACTGACGCAAATAAATATTTCTTATAGAAAAACTATTAAAAAAACCAGGTTGGCAGTATTAATTATTAGGTTGAATATACAATTAGATAATAGCAATTAAAGAAATTTGAGCAATATATGTAAATTAATATTTAGTAATATAATGTTACATGATTAAAATATTAACTATTTATAATATTATAATCTGCTATTGTAAAGCCATTTTTATTTCATTTTTTTGTTCTGTTTTTCTTTTTTTTCATTGTTTTTATCTAGATATTTTCACTTTGTTGTCATTATTTAGATAATTTCAGTTGTTTTTTTTATCTAATTGATTTTAATAAAAAAAGAAAATAAGATAAAAATAGACAAGAAATAAATCAAAAATTTATTTCAGAAATGAGTGCTCAAGTGATTAATGAGCTGTTTCAGCAGATTATTGATTCTGAAGAGAAGATAAAAGAAAGGTTTCAAACTTTAAAAAAATGTAAGTTTTTCTTTATGGTTTTTTTTTCATATTCTTTAAATACGTTTTTTTTTTTAATTAGACTATGACGACCATCTTACTTTTAATAGCGCAACTTTTAATAGCGGTTTTTTTTGAAATTCAAACAGATTAAAGTAGTAGTATGCTATTTTAAACACTTAACATTAACAAAAGCATATTAACAACAAAAGTTGTCAGCTGTGAATTTAAAGATATGTGTCAATGTATAAATGTTATGGTATGTGCAGGCTTCAGCAGGAATGACGGGCTTTAGCCCGTGTCCGTCTCCGCACCCGTCTAAGTCAGTTTAGACGGGCGAAATAAAGCCCGTCTGAAACATAAGTTTTGTGTAAAAAAAAAGATGAATATTTTGATGTTTTTTTATTAAGATACTCTTTTAAAACTTCTCTCATGACATAATTTTAATATGGATAGCAAACTCCAACTTATAATTGTTTATATTTAAATATAACAAATAAACAATTTAATCATTATTGTATAACATGATGTAGAAAATAATATAACTAAATCTTACAGTTTTTTAAACGACGATAACTGTTTGATATAATACCAAACAGTTACCATATTATGTTCAAAATTTAATAACTATTATATTAAATAGGGAAATATACACATGTGATGCACAAAAAGTATCATGTTGTTTTGGTTTTTCAATGTTTATAATAATAACGATAATAAACTAATTATCCATGAATTTCGCTTTTTTCCGATAAACTAGTTTGTCTTACTTTAAAGACATTTAAAGTGATATTTCCGCGTTAACTTCCGCGTTAACTTCACGTTTTTTCTTAAAGAGACGGCAGTTTATTTAATATGCAATTATATAACTCGTTATTGAAAATGAAATATCTCATTAAAAATCAACAAACGTCTAATCAATTTTTGTAGATAATATAAATAGTGTTGCTTTATAGTTATGAAGTTATTCAAGTTATCCAGTCATTCAAGTTTTTCAAGTTATTCAAGTTTTTCAGTAAAGATAGTAATGGCATCATCTGGTAGAAGAGTTACATTAGCAACATTTTTGAGTTGGGGTAAAGATGGATTCTGTGGAAAAGAAACTGAGGTGATGAATGGAACAATTTTTGTTGTGAAGATATGGTGTATGGTTTCTATAAAATATAAAAAAGAATTGCTTCGCGAGTTAAAAGGTCTGGAAAAATCAAAAGCATTAGCATTTATAGAGGGCACTACGAACGTTGAAGCTAGCAACATACATACGCTTATATACATGCTTATATTGTATATAAAGTAACGGAAATTATTAGTAATTCTAAATAAAAACTTATTTTATTAAAAGAAATTAGATTTCAAATTTTTTATTCACGTATCAGAATAACTATTTCCGATCAGGATAGGCATAGGTAAAGCAAAGTTATAAAAATATAAATAACAGTTTAAGTTTTTAATTTGCACGCCCAATAGAATGCAAGAGTATATAAATAATTGAATTTGAAAAATAACATAGTTACGTATCATATTACCAAGCTAATACCAAACAATTTTAAAACTATCGAGCTCATTGATTCAAGGTTAAAAAAAAAAAAAGATTTCAAACTATTTGCTGAATAATTAAAAAAATTAGATTTTGAAAATATTATGTAATATTTTTATTCACAAAGAATAAGAGAAACGAATGAACTAAAAAAGCACGATAAAAACCTGTATAATTTAATCGAATACTTGAATAAAACAATAATATATAAATATACTCAAAAAGACTTCGGTAAAAAAAACACGTTAGGATGCTTGAATAAGGAAACGTGATAAAACGCCATGGTTGTTTCGAGGATTTTTCCCGTCGTTTTCACGTTCATTCGTTTGACTATATCTGCAAGATATTATCTGGAATATAGATTAAAAAAAAAACATAAAAAACTGAATAAAGTTCCTTCGAGTAAGAAATCTAAACAAAAGCAACCATAAAACAACTAACCCACGTGAAACGAAATTAGATCTGTGCAAGTGAAAACTTTGAAAAACAATTATTGAAATCTTAGTCTTAAGTATTATCCAACTCATTTACTGCAGTGTTTTAATTACTTAAGTAATTAAGCGTTTTAAACAGGTAATCGCTTTCTAACATATTATTTTAGTGCAATTCACAAAATGTTTAATATTCAAAGACATTTGCATTCAAAAAGAAGAAGAGAAATTAACAAATTTAAAAAAAAAAAAGTTCAAACTTTAGAATTTTTTTTAAAGTTTAAAAAAGCCCGTGCAAGACCATCTAGACGGGCGGCCCTCATAGCCCGCCAAGTCTATTTAAGACGGGCTTTTCATAGCCCGTACGGTTTTTATTCCTGCCGAAGCCTGTATGTGTGTTAGCTACTTTGCCAGCTGTGTTGTGAATTTTTTCAAGAGCTATTTAAGAGAATCCTGTAGTAAGAACATTTAATATGTGTAGCATGATTACATAGTTACATAATAATTACATAATTACAGTAATAAAATTGTTTGGATTTAGGAACCAAGATAAACTTATTCATAAATTTTGATTTTGTTTTTTCTGAATTTTTTTTTACTCTCGGAGCCATATATATATATATATATATATATATATATATATATATATATATATATATATATATATATATATATATATATATATATATATATATATATATATATATATATATATATATATATATATATATATATATATATATATATATATATATATATATTAACAAAGAAAAAACAACCTTTTCTATGGTAGTTTAAGTTTCATGCCTATACAACAATCATCAGCCATTGAATACAAAATCAAAAACAAAAAAACCTGCTAAAAATTAATGTGTAGTGGGATTTTAACGTTGCTAAAAGACATACTTAATGGCAATCAAATAGAAACAAAATATTAGCTAATCACAGGTGTCAAAAAAAAAATTCCAACTAATTCACAAACTTCTGCGTTATCACTACTTCTGTGCCATCAAATAAAACAATACATTCCACCTCATCAAGATGCATTATTTAAATCATGTTTTACTGCAAATTTGCTTACCATTTGAATGAAAAACCTGTCCCATTCAAAAATCTTAAACGAAACATAATCTGGTACAACCCACCTTTAAGTACAATATATTGTAACAAAAATAGGCGTTGTTTTTTGAACATGGTAGAACTGCAAATCCATCTGCGGCTTGAACAATCAGTGCTTGACGAAGAACATCATTTATCAAACTGTGTTGTCAAATAAACCTGAGTACAATGTAAAAGTATATTTTGGCTCGTGTGAAACTCTATTTAAATCTCAGTATGCTAATCACCTAAAATCTTTTAGCATTAATAAATATAAAAATGATACTGAGTTGTCTAAAGAAAAATAGGAAATAAAAGACAAAATGTTTACACCTTCAGTTAAATGGAAAATTGTGAAACATTGCAATCTTTATAGCTCCTCATCAAAAATTTGCAATCTTTGCTTATTCGTAAAATTCCTCATTTTAATATATAAAGTTGAAAACTTGTTAAATAAAAGAAATAAGTTGATTTGAAAATGAAGGCACAAGAATAAATTTCTCTTTTCTTTTTTTTGACACAAGTGATTAGCTAATATTTTGTTTTTCTTTGGTTGCCATTAAGCATGTCTTTTAGCGACCTAAAGATCCTACTGCACAGTATTTTGTAATTTTTAGCAGTTTTTTTTTGTTTCTGATTTTGTGTTCAATGGCTGATGATTGCCATATAGGTATGAAATTTGAAGGCTCTTGTGCCAGCATCTGCCATAAAGAAAAAATTGCCCTACGTAGGCATTTTTTTATAAAAAAAACAATATTTGCCATATATATATATATATATATATATATATATATATATATATATATATATATATATATATATATATATATATATATATATATATATATATATATATGTATGTATATGTATATATATATATATATATATATATATATATATATATATATATATATATATATATATATATATACATACATACATACATACATACATACAAATGTCCTCAATATCTTAATTTGGAGGGCACAAAAATGTTGTCCAAATCTGTTAAAAGCTGTTGAAAAGGGTCTAGAATAGGTCAGGAATGGTGTGTTATTGAGCACTATTGCTGACTACGCAATTTTATTTAATTAATTTGATTTGATTTTTTGACAACTTGACCAAGACACATTTACATGTTTAGATGATTTTTAAATATTATAGAAATGCGTTGAAAAAAGAAACACGATCTCAAATCAAACTAGTAAGAAAGTTTAAAAATAATAATAATGAAAAAAACAATTCCTTTCCTTTGAAATCCAGAATGCTTTTTGGGACTCCGCATCCCTGATTTTTATATTTCTTATATTCTTATATTCTTTCTTCCTCTACTCCACTTCAGCGCTACTTAGATTGATTAAAAAGCAAAAATAAAATATCATCTGTAACATTTATTTAAGATATATAATATGAAATTAACACAAAATTAAAAGAGGTTTCACAATGACACGGCAAATTAAGCTCGGACTTCCAAAGATATATTAGCAATTAATATTATAAAATAATCAGTGTATATTAATTAATAATTAAGAATAATATATTTGATTTATTTGTATTATTTCATTTTAAGACTATTCTTTTGAATATATATTTCTTTTTTACTGGTAAAATATATATAAGAAATATATATTTCTTTTTTACTGCATTAAAAGGCGATTTTTAAAGTACTAAGATTTCTGTTCATTGAAAATGGTCTTCTACTTTTAATTATTTAAATTCTGCTTGATGCTCTTTATGGACGAACCATCATGTAATAAATTGTGTCATCAAAAGAAATGTTTAAAAAATAGAAAAAAAAAAAAAAAAGGTTTTGAAAATAATAAACATGAGCTCATAAATTTCATATTTCACATTAATTGCAAGTTAAAATTTATAATTAATATAAATTTTCTCTATACATTATTGGCGCAGCAAAATAAAGTTACTATTACAAAGTCTGACCAAAACTTTCATTT